CTCATTTCTTATTGAATTCCTAAAAAACAATATTTATAATGAATTTTAATAATTTTTTCGGATTTTTTTAAGCTTTATTAGGACCGATTCACCCGATTCCCAATCCGGATCGTCGATTCGCCGATCCGGATCGGTTTTTTGGAAGCCCGATCCGGGTCACCGATCCGTTTTTTAAACCATTGGTCTATACAATACACATTTAGATATAGTGAAATATAGTTTGATCGAGTCCAGTTTCGGTTTAGGTCCCACATTATATTTTTGGGTTCGGGTTTGGATGTGAATTCGGGTCTAGTCAGGGGTTCCAAATCATTTTTTAGGGTCCAGATCCGATCCGACCGTCGCCACCCCTAGATGTTGGTTGGTGGATTTGGTTGCTGACACCTTTTCTATGGTGAAAAGGACCAATACCCACCTCTTTAAAACGTGGTCCCAAATAGACCCTCGGGTCCATGGAAAGTACATTTAGATGCTTCATATAGTAGCGCTTGGTTTTACTTAAACAATTTTCTTAACTTTCTTACTTCTATCCAACTATGGTTTTTAGTCCTGATGTGAGATATTCAGCCCTTTCTGGAAGCTCAGAGAATTTATGAAATTTCGCCTTGCCGCACATAAAACAATAAAAATTACTCTTAGAACATTTTACTGTTGAATTTACCAATAAACGAAAACAATTCATGGCTGGGTTTTTTGACACAGAATTTCAAGCTACATTTTCCATTCTCTCTCTTCTGCCAAGCCCTATCATGACTTCTCTAGCCCTCTCAAAATCACATCTTTTGCATTCAAGTTTCCATAAGCCTCACTGCCATCACGAAGCACTTATTACTAAACTCCTCATGAACTCAATGTTCCCATGAATCCTGCAAGATCTCTAGAGATGTTAGAACTGTATTTCTGTATATTTGGGCCTTAGGCCCCTATGAAATATTATTTCAGAATACTGCAGAGAACTCTATCTTTATAGATTGATTCATAAACAATATACAAAACCGTATAAATATATGACCAGTAATAATTAAAGATAAATACTAACGGTTATGGATAACTACTAACTAATCTTATTATAATCAAGAGACACCTAAGAGATATATATCCATTCATATACATATCTCATTATGTATTCATAATAATGTATATTAATATAGATATACATACTCTAATACTCCCCTCAAACTCAAGATGCTTTTACACAAAGCAGCTGGAGTTTGAACAATAAGTTATATAAATGAACGAGTTGGATCTTTAAGTCTTTACGTGCATGGCGTGACTAATAGAAGCAGTGGTCTCTTGCTTGAAGAAGAAGCACAGAACTCGGTAAGGATCCGAGACACCTCGTAGTTCAGAACAAAGACAAGGCTGTTTAGCAGAGAGTCTTGCAGAGAGTCGAAGCACGACTCGGTAGAGAATCGAAGAAGGACTAGACAGAGAATCGAAGAAGGACTCAGTAGAGAGTGCAGATCGGCTATTTTTAGAAAGCATTTTTAGAGGTGGATTTGGCCACAGTTTTATATCCAGCTCACCAAAGGTCCGGCATCAGAAGGAGCACGACATCAATGGTTTACCGCAAGAACCCAACAGAGATCAAAGAAGTCCGGGTAGGTTGCAGAAGACCAAATAGAGATGTTCGAGTAGGTCGCAGAAGACCAAATAGAGATCAGAGAAGTGTGAGAGGCGAAACTTGGTTTGGATAAAAACTTTGAGTTCTGGTACAATTTTGAGGGCCCCTTCAGGGCATAAGAATCTGGTACAATTTTATGATGTCTATGAAGACCATGACAATGTTTACATAGTGATGGAGTTGTGCAAAGGAGGGGAGCTTTTATTAGATCGAATATTGGCGAGGGGTGGAAAATAATCAGAGGATGATGCAAAGGTTGTCATGGTCTAGATCCTTAGGGTGGTTGCGTTCTGTCATCTCTAAGGTATGGTTCATCGGGATCTCAAACCAAAGAATTTCTTGTTTAGCTCGAAGGACGAGAACTCGCCACTGAAGGCCATAGACTTTGGTTTGTCTGACTTCGTAAAGCCAGATGAGAGGCGAAATACAGATTTCATAGATCGCAGAGAATACATATATCGCATTTGTTTAGCTCGAAGTATGAGAACTCGCCACTGAAGGCCATAGACTTTGGTTTGTCTGATTTCGTAAAGCCAGATGAGAGGCAAAATAGAGATTTCATCTATAGTCTCAAACATGGTTATAGTATTAGCACCAACGCTCTTTACAGTCTCCAACATATAACCTTTATAGCGGATAAAAACTTTATGATATGGTAAAATCCATATCCCATTTAAGAATGGTCAAAAACTTTATATCATGTTATGCTTGTGTATAACAATAAAACATGAACTTTGATGCATCCAATATGTATAAATCAAAATGAATGAGTGTCACATACTGTATGCTAGCAATATAACTCCCACTGACCAAGTGCATCCTACATGTTAGTTAAATTCATATGAGCAACATGCTCTACAAGCCATTTGAGATTCAAACCTTTGGTCAAGGTAACAACGATAATCAATTTTGTACTGATGTGCTCAATGGACACTACAAGTACCCTTGTTTTCTCCCTTACAACAAGATATTTAATTTCTATATGCTTGGATAAGAACATGCTCTTGTTGTTATAAGAGAAGAAAATTGTAGTGGAATCATAAAAAAAAAATCTCAATGGCTTGGAAATAAATCTACAACCTGAAGCTCCGAGATAAAATGCAACTACAAAGCTTGCTTGGTAGCCTTATAATAAGCTGTAAATTTTGCTATCGTAATTGATGAGTTTACCATGGAACTACTCCACTAAACATCATGAAGATATAACCAACAAAATCTATACACAAATATCCAATCACATCAAAATGATCTGATTTACTTTATGTGAGCATAATGTTCTTTATTCCCTGCATATACATCATTATTTTCTTAGTCGCTTTCCAATATTGTAGCCGTTGGTTCTCTGATATCTAGCCAATATACTGACCACAAAAGCAATATTTGGATAGGTGCAATCCTGAGCATACATTAAATTCCCACAGCTAATACATAAGGAATATTTTTTATATTCTTCCTCTATAAGTTATTTTTGAGATATTGTAATTTTTGACTTTATCACCCTTAATAATAGGTTACTATACTTGGAGAATAAATATGCATATTATATCTTTTGAGCACACTATCAATATATGCCTTTTGTGATAGTCCCAAGATCCCTTGAGATCTGTCTCGATGAATTTCTATGCTAATCACACATGAAGCTACACCCAAGTCGTTCATATCAAAGATAAAAAATATTTATTTCATGCAACATATGAATGTCACTGTTGGTAGTAGACTGCCATCTACATATATAACCAAAATAGTGAATCTGCTCCCACTGAACTTGAGATAAATCCCTTTGTCCACAAGATTCTCCATAAATTCGGAAGATTTAATAGTAACAACATATAGATCTTAAATCTAATTTATTTTAAAAAAATGTTATAAAATCTGGCTTTCACAGGGCATCCCGATAGATGCAAATATCTTAAACTAGGCTTCCTACCAGTCCATATTTTCAAATAAGGTCTTTAGTATAATTAAGAACATGATTCACCATATAAATAAAGTCTTCAGGGCTCGATGTAAAGAAACATGCAATTTGAGTTACAAACAATGCTCCTTATTTGATTAATCTTTGTAGCCTTTCTCTTGGGATGTGCTTTAGCCTTCTATGCCACAACATAAAATATTCTTATCCACATT